AACGTAAATAAATTTGTTTCCTGCTTGTATACTTCATTCATGGGGCAGACAAGGACGCACTGAGTACACTGTTTGCTGTCAGCTCGACTTTTTACGAGGTGCGATAGTTTTTCACAAAATCACTTCTAGAAGCCGTTCTACTTAAAATTATGATCTCAATCTTGGTATAGGCCTTAATGAGACTTTATACTTAAATGGTATACCATTAAAACCTCTAATTTCGAAAATTTATAGCACACTTTTATTAAAAGAAGATAAGATTGACTAAACCGTTTAATCTTTATTTTTTATATCTCATAGAGAAAGTATTTAGGCTATTTGATTAGTACCATAAGAAACGAGATACCTTGAAGAATATTCTGTAATTTTTTTGAAGTATTTTATTTAAACGTTAACGAGTACTGGCGAGTCGAACACAAATGCATTTTCCATAATCGAAAGGGCGGATGTTTTTAGGCTAGGTTAGTACAGCATACTTTAGCAAGGTGCCATATGAACATACACGTGCTCCCCTTTACCTCCCTGTGGGAGCGACCCAACTCCCTTAAAGGTTAAATATAACCTTTAAGGCTATAGCTTCTGCTCCGATTACTTCAAATTATCGTTGTATACAAATAAGTACTTTTAAGTAATAAATAATAAACGTGTCCCTCTTGACAATATATACGTGTATAATATACGTAAAAAATATAAGTATGGAATATACGTATAATTACACTCACTTATTATGGGACTTTTTTCACGTATAAAATATATGTATAAATATACGCATAAATTTACATATAAAACGTACGTATATAATTAAGAATAAAATAAATGGCTTTCTTAGGGCAAAGTTGAAACATAATATAATTTAATTTATATAAAAATAACAACGACAAATAATATAAAAGTTAATTTAGTCAAGGCATATTAAATGTAAATAGGTATTTTAAATATTAGTATTTAACATGTATAATTTATTCACGTTAGCAGTATAATGTTAGTATTCAATTGAAATTACTCACATTTACATAAGTATTAATTAAGTTTTACATTATTTTACATTTGATACATACATTATAAAATTATACGTAATGAAATTGTGATAGGTTTAAGTTTATTAAATATATTTAAACATGATACAAATTAGGAACCGCACATATATATTCTCCATCAAGAACAGAAGAAGCAAGATGCACACAAATTTTTGTAATATCGTTTGTGTTAACAGCTGTTAATATATTAGACACGTTAATTATTCTTTTAGTAGGTTCGTCACTTTCATGTACTGTAATACGATAACAGAGTGTGAACTCTTTTGATTCTACTTTATCAATAATAAATTCGACTAATTTAATGTAAGATCCTTCTTTAGTTACAGCGTAAGAGTTGTCAGATCTTAATTTCTTATTTTCACACGAAGTAAATGTACATCGCTGTTTTACCATTTTCCTGTATGACCTTGCTCTTTCTGATAACTGCAGTTCTTCGATCCATTCTACATCAGTGGGGTAATTCTTTCCAAAATACCTAGCATGACGAAGTTTACAAGTATTTTTCGAATGTTTATTATCTGAGTAAGAAACATAATCTAAAGCTGCTGAATTTAGGTTTTCTGCTTCCACGTTTTCTTTCAAAAATATTAAAGATTGTGCCATTGATAGCTCTACTGTATAATGAAAGGGAATTAAAAAATTGAACAGGCTACGTATACTATAAAAACATTTTTTATTTAGCTATTTTTGGTACAAAAGATAAGAATTCGATAACATTACTTACAGATTTAAAGTAATGTAAATCAGTCAGGAATACTTAGGCATGGAACGTTATAATTATCTTAGGGTGCCTGTAGCCCTGTACATGGGCGTCTTAATGTCTGAAGACTGTAAACCAAACCTATGGCGGGTGATTCCATTCAAACTGACGTTAACTGAATATTGATATAATTTGTTTTATACTTGATAATAGGCATCCTGTTCATAAAAAACTATGCTACGTGATTACATCATAATATTGGAAAGATATTTAGCCACCAAAACTAAAAAAAAATTTTGTTAACGCTGAGTCGTTAAAAAAAGAGGTTATGTTGACAAAATGTGTTGTAAGTCGGGAAATCACTTAGGAACAAACCATAAAGTAGTGGACCCAAAAGGCTTTATTTTTTTGCATTTGTATTTGAAATACAATATTTAAATACATTTTGTAATACAATTGTATTTCATCAANTATTATTCTTTCAAATATTTAAAAAAAAAATTTTTTTTGAACGACTAGTTCATACAAAACCAAAGCTTACTAGTTAATCTGATTAGATTGTGTACACTTAAATAGAAGTAATTTTTTTCCTGGCGTTAACCCTGAATGGCAACATTAAACATTATTTCCTTTTAGTTAACTGGATGCAGGTCATAACGAATCTAACGCCATCTGCAAGAGAAGCAACGTGTGATGGTGTGATGTTGCCATTCAAGCCTTGTTTACGGTGGAAGTAGAAAGAATAAGCGGTATTGACTTGGATATCTTTGAAAACATAAGCCATGTGCTTTCTGTTTTTATCTTAGAGCATATAATATACTGGAGTGAGCATGGCAATGCTTCACAGCGTGACGAGACTGACCGACTTTCAGTAATAGCTATCTCTCTCTTGCTGAAACACGATTAAGTCAACTTGGTACACTTGAAAACAGAAAGGTTTGAAGACCGACCAATCGCGTTTCAGCGAGACATTACTACTGAAAGTCGGTTTGTCTCGTCACACTGTTAAGCATTGCCATGCTCACTCCAGTAGTATATGCTTTAAGATTTTTATGAACATAGATATACAAGCCAATGCTGCTTATGCTTTCTGCTTTCACCATGAACATCCCCTTAGGGTAAAATGCTTGGAGAAAAAATCACTTTCCCTCGGGTGTACGTTGTAAACTGTAAGAAATCATACCTTCAAAGTATTTAAAATGTAATGTGCCTTAATAGCAGCAACGTTAGTACAAATGAAGAAAAGTATTGCTTGCTAATGTTAAAATGAATACAATGAATTGCATTTAACAAACTACAAGCGTTTTCCTGTATTCTTATTTCCAACTCTCTGAAAAGGTTAACAAAGCTATTTGGAAGATATAAGATAATGCAAATCACATTGTAGTAATATTAATTTTTTTCGTGTCAAAATAAAAAAAAAAAATTTTTTAAATAATTTGAAATTTAAAAAAATTAGAAATTTTTTTTAAAAAAAAAAAAAAAAAAATGTTAGAAATGCTGAACTTAAATAAAAGTAATGTAAGAACGAAATTTCTGCTTATCTAAAGCAATCAATGGAATAATAATCAATAGCTCTACTGTATAATGAAAGGGAATTAAAAAATTGAACAGGCTACGTATACTATAAAAACATTTTTTATTTAGCTATTTTTGGTACAAAAGATAAGAATTCGATAACATTACTTACAGATTTAAAGTAATGTAAATCAGTCAGGAATACTTAGGCATGGAACGTTATAATTATCTTAGGGTGCCTGTAGCCCTGTACATGGGCGTCTTAANTGATGTAGTAATGGCCTCCAGTCAATAACACTTTTAGTTACATGCAAGTTCTGATGCATATTATAAGTTATGGCACTTTTTGAATACAACCTTTCTGTTCCCACGACAAAATCAGCTAATAATTCATGTGCATGGCGCAGTTCATCAAAAGATACGTTATCTTGTAATAAAATATAAAAAGCTTTTACGAACAAGTTCCAATGTTGGAAAAGTTCTTAATATTGTAATATACTATCGATAAAAAGTTTGAATCTCGTTTGTACTGTAAGAAAGTTCAAATGCGATGTATAAGAGAACGGAAAGCCGAAGAACTCGACAAAAACAAAAAAATTCCGAAAACCATCAGTGTGAGTGATGCAATACACATTCAGAATTTGGTTATTGAAAATGAAAAAGGTTCTGATGTGGTTAATGATTCTGATGAAATACACTGCCTTAATGGATGAGGACGACGACAACGACGACGACGATGATGATGACGACGATGATGATGATGATGATGATGACGATAAGGAGGATGATGATGATGATGATGACGATGACGATGATGATGATGATGATGACGATGACGATGATGATGATGATACTTTACCTATGTAGCACAAAACATGATGATTTTTAACTTGTATATATTGGAAAATAAAAATAAGTTACTTACCTTACATTTTGATGTTACTGACGGTTGTTAAATTTATTATTTGTTTTATTTGTACTTGGTACCTTACGGGCACTCCACGGTCCATTCCTGGCAACCGGAACCCAAGGAATCCTGCACCCGCCAGGGAACGCACCTGGTGACAGTTTGTATACTACCCAGAAAGACTTCCGGAAGAGGTCCGGAGACCAAGCTTAAGGCACCGGAGCTGGGCCTGCTACTAGCCTGAATGTGTATTTCCATTCGGGATGTGATTCCAACCTTACGCTTTACTAGGCTCTATGTGACTGCGACCGCAGCTTAAGGCCTATGGCCGCAGTCACCTGGAGCGCAAGAGAGCTAGCAGGATAGGAATTTCTCCATAAGCGGCTGTGTTAAGGCTATTGCGCTGCAGAATAGCCCTATTGCGCGGCGCAATAGACTTAACACAGCCGCTTACGGAGAAATTCCCATCCTGCTCGCTCTATTGCGCTCCATGTTACTGCAGCCTAACGTATAAGGGATCGGCCGTGTTCCCATATTTTGTGGTATAGGTATACTTCAGAATTTATTGGGGAGTCGCGTTCATATTATATCTCTATGGTTGCGTTTGACTACCTATCCTGATGTCGAAATTACATTGTCATGTTATTTTTAATATTTCGCGACCACTGTAGCCAACTTAAAATTTTTTTATTCACAGACGACACGCGCAATTCACGCGCAATCCTTTATTACCTATGTGTTGTCAACTAGAACTCTCGTTAACGAGAAATGCGCATTACAAGACCTGCCTATACTTAAGGAATTTTAATTTACAGCTGTAAAATATTTGACTGTGCGAAACACTTGTGATGTAACTTTTTACAGTTTTTTGTACGCGCAATCGATCTGTGATAAATATTGCAATTCTGAACAGTGTCTGTAGGATAAGTTACTGAAGCCCGAAAAAACTCACATCATTTTATTATTATTTATTACAGTACGTAGTTATAGTAAAAATAAAATTAGAGTACTTTGTCCCTGAGTTACACTTATTAATTCCTTTATTTTTGTTTTTGGAATGAGACTTCATAAAAATCCTTACATTTGTAGAAATCAGGAAACACTTATGTAAATGTTATAAGCTAAAAATTAATTTTTGAAAATGTTAGATTAGAGTATATGCCTCATACACGTCAGTTGTATATTGAATTATAGAAAAAATATTTTAATCATAAGGTATTCAAAATATTTTCCACTATTGAAGGAGAATTAAAGAGCAGATGTAGTAAACCAGCATTTTAACTTGAAATGTGGAGTTAAAAAGGAATTTTATACATGTGTGGGTAAAACGATGTATGTATTTTTTGTCGTGTTAAGATTATTATTTCGTTTTACTTCAGTAGAAATAACCTTGAATTATTTTCTGTTATTATAAAAAATGTGTTTTTCTGCAATACATTCTATTGTAAGTTATGTTGCTGATTATAATGTGAGAATGTCAGAGATTACCTTGAACAGCTGATTTAACCACAAGTAATTCATAATCCATAATTATAATTTACTCCACGGTTAACAACTGCTTAGTCGAGCTTGGCGCATTAGGTACTCATTATACGTTGTAGGCATATAACAGTGCGTTTGGAGAAGCGCTGGCTGGTCGGGCTTAAAAATATTGCAAAAAAAAAATTGTAGTGGAATAGTAAAGGGTTACAGTCAATTAAATGTTATTGTGATACATGCATTTTTATGCGTAGGAACTTGCCAATAGGCATTGACACAATATTTTCTACTGTTTAAATTTCCACACGAAATTTTGGTTTTAATTTTTTGTTGAAATTTAATTTTTTGTAGTTTTGTCAAATAATCATTTATAGTAGTCATTTATACTGAATGTCACCTACAGGTTGGCTAATTTATCTATTTATTCATGATGCTTGGTCAGCCAATCATTTAACTATTGGCTTATATTGAAAACTGTAAGCTATTTTTAATTTAATTTATGTCTTAAAAATAATTAGATCTCGTGTCTGTATGTAAATAAGTATTTATTGTCTTTACAACAAAAACAAACAGTTCAATGTATTTAAAATTTTTTTCGGAATCTTTAAAATACTAAAGGTTGGCATGTATCTCAAAGTTTCCTTAGACTAACTAGCTCAACTATTTTTCTAGTTTAAGAAAGATAAATTTTATTTTCATTTCAGTAAAAAACAAAATATCATAGTTCAGTATTGCTTATCAAAATTTTTATATTAATGAATGAGTAAAATAAATTGTATTCTGTGTTATAGTGAACTGAATGCTGTATATCTTAACTTACAGGTATAAAAATTACATAATAGCTTAGATAATTAAAGTGTTGGTCAATAATGTTTTCAATATCAATCGACATTTCAGGTCTATATATTTAACACAGATGGTGTGTAACAGTAGTGCAGAAAAATTCTTTTTTTTGTAGTTTTGTGAATTTATACCTAATATCAAAAAGCTTATTTACTGTTTTAATACTGAATTCAGGGTTTTTGCAAGGACTTTAAATCCATTTAGAGTTTTTCTAACGTTACATGCGCATAACAATCATTTACTTAAGTTACTGTAATTGTCATTTAATTATAATAATAATAATTCATAATAACATCGATGCTTACAGTCTTTATACTGAAACTTTTTGTTACATAAGGAGAGTCAGGAGTATCATTCATCAATATTTTGAACTCATGATTTGAAATATAACAATTCACCATGAGATTCATAATTCTTGATGAGTCAGTTGGTTCGACGTTTTGCCTGCACGAAACTCTGCATGGGCAAGCCATTGATTCCTCGCAGATGCAATTTTTTTGAAGTTTTACTTCTTTCGGCGCGTTAAGTATGTGCGAGGGTAAATCAACGATTTTAGAGTTTGACCTTGAGAAAAATGGTGACGGAAGTGGATAGAGAGAACATGGCCTATTATCTATTATATTAGCTAGAGGCACATATCACAGTTTAAGGCTCTGCAACAGAACTCAGTAATATAAAAGAACAAGAAGAAGGCTCGTAAAGCACAAGTAATAATTAACACGAAAATAGTAGTAGTATGTGCGCTCCAGGTGTGGGTTAGAGTGAGAGAGAGCTAGCTTGCGTCGATACAAAAGATGGCTCTCGGGACTAGCTGTTGCTTCCTGCGCGAGTGGCCTGCTTGGGCGCAAGGTGTTGAAAGCGCGCTGAACGGTGTTACCTCATATTCTCTCCCCCAGTGATCTACGCAGGTAGCGCTGCGTTGGGATTGCAGTCGGCCACCTGGTAAAGCGGTCGATGATCGTGTGGCAGAATTGCATGCCTTGGGCCAACGGCATTTTGATGAGGTCATTTAGATGTTGGAATCTGTTGTCTGGTTCGGAGAAGGAACTGAGAGCTGCTCTATTGTGTTTGGCTACTTTCGACCTTTGGCAGGCCTCGCAGTGTTGGCACCAGGAGCGTGCATCTCGGTGGATGCCTGGCCAGACAAATTTCTCGGCTAACAGGCGGGTGGTTGTTCTGCCTCCTGGAAGATAACCCGTGGACAACGTCAAAGGCTTTGCGGCGCAGGGGAGCCGGCAATTAGGGCCTGGCGGTGTTGTTGCTTACCTCACAGTAAATTGTGTGACTGTCAATGTTAAGGGCTTGGAGCTTGAGACAAGAGATGTCGAGGTTTGTCAGCTCGTCGTCTGCGGCCTAAGCTTCTGCGATGGTTGCCGCGTCAAGCAGGCTGGGCATGGAGATGGTCTCTGCTGCCGGGTTGAGAGCGTTGGTTTGAGGTGGGTTGAAGCTGATGTGGCGTCGTTGAGTCGCAATAGGGTGTCTGCGACGACATTTTTCTCACATCGTGCGTGAACCAGCACCGTGTTATGATGCAAGATGTGCTCTAGGTGTCCTGCTTGTCTTGGTGAAGCTTTGTCCGAGCGCTGAGAGGCTGCATAAATCAGTGGTTTATGGTCAGTGTAGATGACGAAACTTCGGCCCTCTAGGATTCGATTGAAGTGCTTGACGGCTTCGTAGACAGACAGAAGTTCGCGGTCGTATGTACAGTAGGGTTTCTGAGTGTCGTCTAGCTTGTGAGAGTAGAATGTTAGGGGTCGCCAGGTACCATGGACCTATTGCTGCTCTAGGACTGCGCCAATAGCAACGTCTGAAGCATCGGTCCTGAGTGCCAGGGTCGCTTTTGGGTCGAGGAACGTGGTGCAAGCGGCTTAAGTGATGCAACGTTTGCAGCGTTCGAAGGCTTGTTTTGCTTCTGGTGTTAATTTGAGCGTGGCCTTCTTAGCTAGGCCTTTGAGCATCTCGTGTAGAGGTACCTGCAGCTCGGCAGCGTGTGGGATGTGGCGCTTGTAGTAGTTGAGGGCTTCGAGGAATCTGCGAAACTTTGTTGCGTTGTTTGGCTTGGTGAAAGCTTTGACAGCTTCTGTTTTTCCTGTAGAGGGCTGAAATCCGTCCTTTGAATCCTGGAAGCCTAGGGAGAGGGCTTGAGAGGTGCCGATGTCGCACTCCTGTGGGTTGATTTTTAGCTTGGCCTCCCGGAGTGTGACAAACAGCTGGCGAAGATGGTCTAGATGTTGCTCGTGTGTCGATAAGGCTACGAAGATGTCATCGATGTAGGCTTTGGCGAAGGGCAGCTTCCGAAGGATGTGGTCCATGATTTTCTGCATGGATTGCGCTGCGTTCCGAAGTCCTAGCGAGGTGCCGAGGAAATCGTATAGCCCGAACGAATCGTAAAAACCTTTTTAGCCGCATCCAGTCATTTTTCAGAGAGGCGCCAAGGGTGCTCGAAGGTTGGAGGTCCTGTAGAGCTGATTGAGTGCTTTACCGGTAGGCCTGGAGGCTGGACAGGACTGCTGCTTGGCTCGAACAGGTCTGCAAATTCCTTGACAAGCTCGGCATACTTCTGTGCGAAGATGCTGCTGTTGTCGCAGAAATGAGTAACTGTGGAAACCGAGTGGAGAGGTGCCTTGTCGAGGACTCCTTGCTAGGCAAGACCGGTGGATCTATTAGCCGCACGGTTTTGTGATTGGGTAGAAGACCGTACTTCGTCAGGAAGTCCGCTCCACTGATACCATGTGGCACGTCAACGATGGTAAAGGTGCAGTCAAAATCTCTTCGGAGACCAAGGTTGAGCGTAAGCTCATGCGTGCCGAAGGTCCGAATTGTCGACTGGTTGGCAGCATACAGCGTGAGTGGCTGCTGTTGTAGGTTTTCTCGGATTGCTGACCTTGGCAAGAGCGAAAGAACCGATCCAGTGTCCACGAGGAAGCGTAGGTTGGTGCGCTTGTCGCACACATGTAAACGGTTTTCGATGACGCATGTGCTCACCTCTGCCACCTGATCCAGAAGTGGCATTAAACGTTTCCCTGTCCTGGTGCAATGGGTGCGGGGTAGGAGCAGGGCTGCATGCAGCATATGGCTGCTGCTCTATGCTTGTTGTGGTACCAGTACCAGGATGGCGAGGTTGGTGTGGCTGCGGGTGACTGGGATCGGCCTCGGCTGCGGGAGCGAGAATTCTGACCACGCCGATTGTTGATATTGTTGGCCATGGGCTGCTCATGTTTACTGGCGGGTGAGTGCAGTGAGGTGTGCTGCTGCGAGCCTGAGGGCAGCAATTTTCTGCGTGAGGTCTGGGTGTTCAGTTTGACCTGTGGATCAACTCACGGAACTCACAGCCATAACGGAGTTTCCGGTTTCCAGCAGTTTGTCTGTGGCCTCAGTGAGCTTGGGCATGTCAGCTTGGTCCAGCACTCGAAGCAGCATAGCAGAATTGGGTAGTAAAATTTTATGAAAAAATTTCTTTGTACTACGATTTGCATGATACCAGGTATGTACGTAATATTAAGGTCCTTACTGTTATTGTTATCATAACCTGGCACACGCCGCTTCCCGAGCAATCATCAACCTCGCGGCATCACTTGCTGCCAACAGCTTATTGCTCCCGAGGCAATGGTAGAGAGGTGCGCCCTAATTCTAATGCATATATGTACTCACATGATAACGATCAGCGTTGCACCCAGACGATCCTCACACTGCTGTGACGCGCGATCCGGTTCGAAGGACCAGATGTTGGGCGGATGAATCAACTTCACTCGCCCTTGTGTCTTTTCAAAAGTCGGTTTATTTAATTCGGTACAAGTAGAGTATCAAGTGAAAGAACACTGTGTAGACGAGACAAGACGTAGAAGAGAAAAAAACGGTGATGCCGTGTTGACTCGTCAAAGATGACTGACTCCAGACGCGCCCACCGCTCGGAGGGCGCCACACACTCTGCTCCCGCTAGAGACCTCTCCAAATGCAGGACGGGCGATTGGTTGGCGAGACCGGGCAATTCAAATACCGGCCAAGACAGT